TTTTTTTTTTTTTTTTTTTTTTTTTTTTTTTTTTACAATGAGGTTAAGGTGGCAGTGCAGGATCTTGGCTAATTCTATCCTGGCTTTCTTTGCACTTCAGTTGAATCCACATGGGATGGTGATATTCAGCTCTGCATTACTGCTATTTCTCACTTTAATGACCCTGGTAAATCTTTAATGATTGCCATCACTGTCAGAAGGGCACAAAGGGCCCTCGTCTGTCTTGATGCAACCTAAGAAAATATGCTCGCAGATGTCAATTAAAATAATGGCATTGGTGGTAGGTCACTTGTATTTTTATGGGTACCCACCTCTTCTTGCAAAATGCAGCATGAAAATTCCACTCATAATCATTATGTTCACTGAAAAAAAAGTAAATGTAGATATCTTAGGTTTTGTTTTGATTAAGTAGGGCAGCACATTCCTGATAAAATGAACTGGGACAGGTGCTTCACAGAAATGGGCCTAATCATTTCAGTAAGCCAGAGTACCTAAGATATAAGCTGTTATTTTAAATTAGGTATTCTGAAGTGTGAAATTTTCATCCTGTAATACTTGTTTGAAAGTTTGTGTTAGAGAAATTCATTTAACATTAGAACCAAGATTTTTCCACCATTTAAACATTGTTTCATAGTGAGTGATTTCTCTATCACAGTATAGCCTTTAAGACATAATTCTCTCAAATTATGGGGTATGTTCGCAGCCCTGTGAGCTAGGAACTGGATATACAGATCTCTTATTTTCATTAATAGCGGTTGCCTGCCTAATTCACTGAGCAACACAGAGAAAATGTAGCCTCATGGGTCAACATCAATGGATTCAATGAGGTCTTCACCCTCTAAAAATGTCATTAATGAGAGTAATAGCCGGCTGTGGGCCCTAGTGCTTGAAACAGCTGTGGCAAGCTGGCTCTCTGGAGAGCAGAAGTCTGCAGCAGAGGTGCTCAAGCTTGTTTGGGGACATTCATATCCATCGTTCACTGCTGGCCAGCTATTTGGAATCTTAAGAAGTCTGTAAACCTTTTGGAGAGCTAGACTTTCAGCCTAAAATTAGGCTCACCTCGGTGAATCACGGACTGTGACTGTACTTGAGAGGGTGGGAACAATGTCTACCGCTCTTGTTCCAGCTGTCCTGTATCACCAGCTCACCTGAACATAATGATAGACCCTGACCCATTGCTGCCCCTTTTAAAATTAAATTTTCATGCTAAGCCAACCTAGGTCTTGAAGAGAGGTCATCACCCACTGGGAGGTGCCCCGGCATAGGTTTCCATGCCTGTTGAGGTTCCAAGTCTGAAGACTCAGTTGGCAGGTTGATCTAAGAGGTTTCATCATAAACAGTGAGAAGGTTTATGTGGTCACCTCTAAAGCAGGGGTCTGGTGGTACTTCTGCTTAGTGATGGAGTGTGGGATCAGGTTAGTCTGTTTCATGAACCAAGTTGAAGTTAGGTATGGTTTTTCATTACCATAATGTATTCAACTGTACATTGAAATCTAAATTTTTCTAGAATATGCTTTCCATAGAAATTGCAAGATGCTGTGGCTCTAAACCTGATCAATAGAATGTGACTTTATATAAGAACGCACCTTCTCATGCTGCATTTCAAATAGAGAAAACTCAAGAACATTTTTGCTGTATGTGGTAGTTAGTATTTTAATCTAGGCAACATCCTGAGCATGAGAGTAGAGAAGGGTGGATGACCTAGGAAAACACTGTGTAATCTAAACCTTATTAAAAAAAAAATAATAAAAGTATTCAAGCATTAATATTGGATATTCTAGGTCATTATTTTATCCATAAAACATATATTTATAGCAGATTTTTATTACACTTCAGTGTTCACCTAACTTTGTAGTCTCTTTTGATTTTGTTTTTTTCTGTAGTTATTTTCCACTTCTAAGTCATTTGATCTATGTTTTCCTTTAGACCTCTGCCTCCGTATAGATTACCAGAAAGAAGTTCAATTACAATTTTGTCTCTGATGTGGATATTTCTTTAGTGAAGGTTGTACAAAGACATGTCCTTCCTCGGGCTCCATTTCAAACAGGGCTTCAAATGCAAACTAAAAAAACCCCAAAAACACAAACTAATTTGAGTTGTCCAAGACATGCTTCATTTCAGTTTTCTTGAGTATTTGCTTGATACAACGCCAACAGCAAATGTTTTACAATCTTCAGTGCTACAGGATTTGAGTAGTCTCAGCTCTGCTA